TTATCATAATGATTTATGAATTCTATATATATATAAATATTTATTTCAATATTTTATACACTATAATATAATTAAATAGTATATTTAATATACTATATTATAATACTAATACTAAATATTACTAATACTAATACTAAAATTACTATATATAAATACTATAGTATATTTAAATATACTATAATATAATAATAATAAAAAAAAAAAAATAAATTATATATAATACTATATATAATAAATGTATAATAAAATAATATAATAGTATTATTTATTATTTTATTTACAATATGTTTCGATGTTTGATAAAAAAATAACGATAGAACAGAACATATGGATTCTGATTATTTTTACCTGTCCAACTTCCCTATCATACAAAGATTTTATTTATTTAAAAATATTATTAATACATAATCGATCATCCCTTATTTGTATATTTGTTTTATTTCTTCGTATAGATTGTTCGAAATTCGCGTGTAAAAAAGGATTGAATAAATATTTGTAGTTTATAAATATAAAAATATAAAAAGGGATAGAGAGACTGTGGAGCTTAGGGAAAGAGGGAAAAGAGAAAAGGGTGAGGGGGAGGAAGGGAGGATTGGATACTCTGACAGTATCTATTAATGTCATGTCTCTATTTCCGTATATATCCCGTTGCCGTGCGAAAATTTATCTCTCTATCTCTCTCACTCACTCTCTCACTCTCTCTCTCTCTCTCTCTCTTTTTCTTTCTTTCTTCCTTTCTTTCTTCCTTCCTCTCTCTCGCTCTCTCTCGAATATATCGATCGATCGCAACCAGACTGTGCAAGAATCGAGAGTGCAAGGGTAAAAAAGACGCATGGATGCGTTCAAGCTCTTTTAGCTGCAACATGTTTCCTTTTTTTTATTTTTTGTCTTTCCTCTTGTACTTCTTTTTCTTTTTATTACGTGTATATATCTTGTCGATCAAACTTTTACGTGTTTCTTATAGTTCTTTAATAAAAAAAAAAAAAAAAGGAAAAGAAACTTCGAATAAAAGGATAAAAGATTTGTTATAATAAAAAATATAGAAGTAAATTACAAAAGTATTCGTATCTGTTTTTTACAATAAAATTCATATTTGTTTGTAATGCAAATACTTTTTCTTTGAACATTAACATTTTTATTTGAATAATATTTTTTATTTGAACATTATATGAATTCTATGTAATATTGAAAAAAAAAAAACAAACATTATCTAACGATTCATATTTGACAATATCGTTTTCAAATTACATTGAATTTATTTAGTTTAAAATAATGTGGTGCGTAATAACTAATAAACACATTTTTTTTTTTTTTTTAATTTTGACTTAGACCACTTTCATAATTATGGGCACATATATATTTTAAAAATATATTTTTATTGAATTTATTATTCGACTTTTTCAATTTGTTTTTTTTTTCTTTTTTTTTATTTCATTTTAAAGAAACATTTTATTCTTATAATGAAAATCAAAATATGTTTCATATTATGCAAGAATATAGAAATATATATATATATATATATATTAAAATCCCATAAAAATAATAATTAAATTGACAAATAGAAATACAAATGATTCCTGTAACACACTGTAATATATTTCAATATTACTATTTGTACATCGTAAAACGATATAGGTGTACTTTTATGTGTTGGTAGGAAACGAAAGGTCTAGGTTGTATCGAGAAAAAGAGAGAAAGAGAGAGA